TAGCTCTCATTTCACAGGGTACACAGAAAGTAAGGCCGCACAGAGTGAAGCGAAGACCAGGATCAGAGTATCAATATGGATCCTAAACAGATTTGAAAAGGTGTTAGCTGTTACCTTTTTCCCGATTGTGTTCCTCTATATTTTCGGAATAAAATGTCCCGCAGTGTCTCACTTTTTTGCTTTTTCTAAGGGTGGGGGTTGTGGTTTTTTTTCAGATGTGCCGAAGCTCGTGCGGCCGGATTTCGGCAACCCACAAAAGCTAAACCAAGACCGGCAGAAGGTGCATGGCTTTCCCCCTATGTTTGGACCCCACTGAGCTGGCACCCCTCGAGCGTGTTTCGAGGGGTTTTGGTAGTCCCATTTTCCGTCAGTTTAGTGGTCTGCTGGCTTGACGGGTGGGGAGGACAACAGGTCAGCCACAGTGTGGCCCAGAGATGGCCTGGCGCCTCACTTCAGAGGTCATCTGGTTGCGGTTTAACCCGATGGCGAAAGGGGTGCTTCGTTCTTCCGGTTGGTTGCCTGGTGTGTCAGGTGTCTGCGTCCGGGTCTGCCCAGCCTGTGGACCAAACACCCCAAAGCGTGCGCTGTAGGATGTGAGCGCAAGCGCGTGCCCGGTGGGTCCTTCGAGGCAGAACATTGGGCCACGCGACGCTGTGGCGCTTTGCCCGATTTGGTTGTGGGTTTCGGGCATGGCCTGTGACGATGGGGCGGTGGGTGGGGGGCTTGGCTGGCTGGTGTCCACGGGTTTTCTGGTTCTAGTCCGCGCCCTTCCAGATGATCCCAACTCTTTGGCAACTTTTTCCGTTCATTTTTCTGCGGAAAATCTTTCCCCCCCCGCTGTGGTGGATTCTGGGGGCCATTGCTTTGTTGCATACTAGTGGGGCCAGCTGGCGGCACTTTGTGCGCCAGATCGGCTGGCCCAGACCCCCAATTTGGGTCTCTATAAAGTCGACCTTTTTCCCGAAAAGAGGCCGACTCCAGTGCAGGAAGCGGCCTCGCACGTGGATCAGACGTCGATTTTATAGACCATTTTATAGGGCATTTTATAGTGCCCCTTTTGAGCCCTTCGCCCCACTAGTATCCACACAAAACCCCATTATCCAGGCCGGAGGTCCGGCAAAAGGGTTCCGAGGTTGGTTCCGTTGGGGGTCTTTTTTGCCAACTTGTGGAACCCTTTCAGCTCGAAGAGACGCACCAAAAGCTGACGCCACAGACCCGAAAAAAGACACTCAGCGGACGCCAAACACGACCACACGACGCCCAGACCAAGCGTCAAGAAAAGGGTCGCCAGGTGGTGAGCGTTCTCGAGGGCTAGACCAGCAGTTGCCCGGACCTTTCCGGAACCCCTTGGCGGCGGCAGGCAGGCCGACACGGGGCCAGGATATGGGTAGCCGAGGCTTGAGCGCAGAGGGGTCGGGAGTCAAAATGGTGTCGACAACAATCGTAAGCCCTGCCACATTGGGGCCCTGGGTGGCAGAGAAAAACCGACAGACACCAGGCAAGCCCACCCAGCTCTGTGGCAACTTCAGCAAAACGGTGTGGCCAATGCATGGGACGCACAGCAAAACCCTTGGCCAAATGCCTGCAGACAATCAACACCAGGCACCACCACCAAAAAAGCGCCAGCCGGTAACGGTGCCGCCGGAATCTGCTCAACCAGAAAGCGGAGAGAGCGGCGCCCAGCTTCACCGACCGACCAAACAGGCCCCATCGGTCTCAATTCTTGGAGAAATCGCCACACACATCTGCCTGGAGAAGACTCCGCGCAAAGTGGTGAAAAAAGAAAAAAACCCCATCCCTTTGCCCATTTTATTTAGATTTTATAGGACTGAAAAAGCGGGAAAATGTAACAGCTGAGACCTTCCCGAAACAGATAGTATGATCTCAAGCTAGACTGGGTGGGACTGCGCACACTGCTCGGCAGTAACCTCCAAGGTGAGAGGCGTGTATTGGGGGCAGCTGGGTGGGAAAGATCGATAACACTATTCCGCTAGCCCAGGTTGAAGCTTCTATTACTTCACCCCTATCGTTCTGTCGCTCTTCTACAGAAACTCATACTTACACTTTTGACTATTAGATCTCCTAGTAGTCCCTCACACAACACAGCTTTAGCCTTGGCTAGCCTTTCTCTAGTTTGATTCGTATGCAGAATATTTTACTTTAGGGTGTTGGGTAAACTGCTAGTAGTCCCTCTGATTCGTAATTTTAAGTCTCTTTGCCTCGGCTTTGGCGATCGCCATCTGTCTGACACCGCTGCTAATTACCAATTGCCAGTCTGATTTAAAGGCTGCGGCCAAGAAATCTAGCCCCCGCTTGGGGCCTCCACCTGCTTCCTGCCCCATGCAAGCTTAGAGCTTGCTCTAATGATCCTAGTCGGGGTCCTAATCCAAGAATTAGTCACTTCTTCTTGCCTACATTCCAGTTAATCACTGCTAAGTGGAAGGAGATAGGAACCTAAAGAAATCTGGCTTGTAAAAAGGCAGCACAGTATCTATATTAGTGATGAAAGGCTTGTAAGCTAACTAATCAAAAATAGGCGAGCTTGTAGAAATGAATTGCGTTGAACCTTAATATATAAGCATGTAGACCTTAGGAGAATAATTATATATAATATGATCAAGAAATATTTACTTATAATGAGACTACAACGATGAAAAAAGTGGTCTGTTGGGCCTTAATAAATGCTACCAGTCGTTGAGAGAGGAAGCAACTTCGCAATCGTGTTCGCATCTTTTGTTCCGCCGTCACCCTCCAAGACCTCTTCTGTGCTGCCCTCTGTGGAACTGGAAGCGGTAGCGAGCGTGGTAAGAAAGTGCCTTTCCCTCTTTTAGCGGTTGCAAGAAGCTCTTGAACTAGTTCACTCTTGGTAGGAAAACGCCCTTTGATCTATTGCTTGAAGGGGTACTAGAGGGAAAACTATCCGGCTGTTTTACTTATGTGCTTTAAAATGCCCTTTGATCTAGTTTCTTGAACTACTCTTGGTAAGAAAATGCCCTATTCTTGAACTACTATCGTCTAGTTCATCTAGTTCGCATATCTAACTATCCCTTTGCTATTGTTTCCCCCTTGAAAAGGTCCCCTAGAAAAGGATACGCAACTCTTAGATGATGAGTCAACTTGCAGCAACCCTTAAGTCACCAGTGGCGTTTCTGTGCCGGTGCTCGGTGTCGATAGCGCCGCCCACACGCGAAGGGAAACCGACTGGATCAGCAGGTCTACCAAGTATTTCACAAATTAGAAGCGCAACACCCATCATCATCATCATCATGCATCTCTGGTGGTCATTCTCTGCCTCTGGCGAGATAAGATAGTAACTAACAGAAAACCAAAAAATAATAATGTAGCTATTCTACACGACCTCCATAGTAGCTTCTTCTTACTCATCGAACGTTACCATTGATCCTACTTCTCTCCTCGTCCATTATGCATAGTTCTACAGAGGGATGTATATCCTACGTCCAATAGCGCTATCATCCTTAATAAAGAGGAGATGAGCAACTTCTTCTTCTAAGAAACGACCTATAGTAGCGCTATCATCCTTCAAGAGGAGATGAACAACTTGGTTGGGTTAAGTCATGCATCTTTAAAAAGGTTAGACTGGGTTAGGTTGGGTTAGGTTATGTTCATTCATGGTGTCCCATTTAGTACTCCGAGCCTAATGAGGGGACAAATCAATTCCAGCAGTGTGTCTCCAAGATTGGAAACGGCCGTGGAAGTGGAAAGCCTGGTAAGGGGATAAGCAATCTATTCTAACTTCTAAGTCCTTATCGATCGTCCTTAAAAACATTTCACGGGGTCCTTCGGGGGAAATTTTCCGCCGTCCGCGGCCGGCGATTGCTTCACACTGGCGTAAAGGACTCCCGTTACTCTTGTCATCACCATGATATTTTGGTACTCCAAAGCAATCGCGTCATCATCTTCCTCATTTTTAGAGTCCGCTTTGCTTCGATATTCATATATCTCGGCATTACCCTCAACTACATCTTGACACCCCTGTATAACTGCTTACCACCCTTGTATATTGTTACATGGGAGAACCTTAGAATTGCAGAGGTGAAAACTAACCGGCTGCTTTACCTAGTGCTTTAAGCGTCGCGGGACCTGAACCTTCTTCTAACCCTTGTTTAGCCAATTCATAGGAATAAGCAATACACGGCAAAAGGCACCAAGAAGATGCTGAGAAAGATGGAGAAAGCTGACCTTAACATTTGGCCCATCCGTTTTGTAGTAGAGACAGGCATCGGCAAACATGCGAAACGCCGCAACGCGCTCGTTCCCAAAGCCTCCCAGATTCGGACTCGAGGCACTTCTTTCCTTAGAAGAGGAATAACTGAAGATTAAGTTACTACAACTACAACTGCTAACCTAACATATAATAGTACTAGTGATGGAGCCAGCCTAACTAGGAAAAACTAGTTGTACAACATTATTTTTTCTATGCAATTGAGAGTGTAAACTAATGAGTACATTACCCTTCTCCACCACCGACCACGAGTGACACCTTAATGTAAACAGCAGGCAGCGACTGATCTGCACTGTCCTGTGGTGCCGCCAGCACAGTTGCTGCCTCGCGCCTTGCAAATAGCGCTGCGGTGTTGTCGGACTCGAAGGTCTTGCTGAAGCCCTTGGTTGTAGCACCCTCACCTGCATTCTTGTCTCGTCTTCTATATGAAGAATGGTATCTTTTCCATCTAGGCAGACCATCGAGGCTCGTCTTTGCCCTAGAATACACTTTCATCAAAGGGCAAAGAAGCAGCCTACTAGATGGTCTGACAGATGGAAAAAAACATCATCCATACTCCAATCGCTAGCTGCAACGCCTGTTTCTTGGCATCGTCGGCGCTCGTGCGCACTGGCACAACACCTCTCAAAATCTTCAGGTAGTCGTAACCCATTTGCCAAATATTGGAGTCGGAGTTCGAATTATCTGGCGGATTCTCCTTTTGCATTCGGTCTAAAATCTCCTTCAGAGTCTCCTCTGCTGCAACAGCGTCCTCTCCCTTCGCGTTGCCAGTACGCAAAGCCAACATGATGCGCCAAATTTCATCACCGATGGCGACTGAGACAGTATTCTTGCAACGACTTGTATTAAAGCTTTGCAGCTTGATTGATTGAGATTGACTGCCTGAGGGTCAACAGTTGATTTAGATTGATTGATTGACTCATTTTTGATTGACTGATTACGTCAGATGTACTTCAAACACAGACGCTGACCTTGACGGTTAAAGAAAGGCACGCCGTAATTGACGATGGCTCGGTCTCGCCTGCGGCATTCATGAGCTTCCCGATCAAAAACAGCAGCACGCGAAGCGACGGCTGGTTTGTGACCATTTTGCTGGCAGCTGTTAGAGGTTGCAGCATTACACTCTTCAATACATCCTTGACCCATTTTCCACTTGAAGAAAGGTCAAGGATGCAAGTGAAGAATGCCATTCGGAAACCCTTAAAGATGGCGGTTGTATGCAGTCACTAGCAAAAGCAGTCCACTCTTCCTTTTTGATAGTCAGCACCTCCTTCTTCTTATTAGCGATGTGTCAGTACTAAACCTAAGACTCCAATTCAACAACATTCCGGTGTCCGGCAGTAGACTACTTGAACATATCATCCCTTGAAAGTCGCATAAAAATATCCCTTGAAAGTCGCTTGAAGAAAGATATCCCTTGAACGTCGCTTAGAAATTATATCGCTTGAAGGTCGTCTATACCCCTATCGCTTGAAAGGACATAAGCCTTAACATTTCCATCCCTCCTAGGTAGAGGCGTGCCAACGTAGTAAGCCTTCAAAAGCGCTGCTGCCTTAACGCTAGACACTCACTATCCATGGTTGAGTGAGTTGCTTTAGTTCCCCTTGCTTTCCCCTCTCGATGAATCATCAGCATGCTCTGCTAGTAGCCTATTTAGTCCTACTGGCCTGACTTTTTTCCCCTTCACGACAGAACAATGTTGAGACAACTCACTCAGGACCATCGATCCTGACACACCAGATAGTTGTGAGTGTCTAGCCCTAACTGCCGTGTCCGCGCTACTACCAGCCAAAGCTTGGAAGCGTCCGCTTTCTTTTTCGGGTATTCCTATCGCCTTTGTCAGGTCATGAAAAGAGTTTTTTTGCATGTTGGACCAGTAATAATGCCTGACCATCTATATCTTCTAAAATATAGTACAATAAAGCAATAGATAGACCACATCAAAACCCATCTATTTTCCTTCCAACTACGTCCTCTGCCTGCCTGTCTTTTGATAAAGGTGCTTTTCTAAGGAAAAAGTGATAAATTGAATCTATTCGGCGAGCTGCCTAAGATTTCCCAGACGAGTTCTACCCGCTAGTCTAGCTTGTTGCTAAGGAAAAAATAAAGGAGTTTATATATTATAAGAAGAAAACAGAACAGGAAAGGGCGCTGGCACAGAATTCTTCGCAAATCAAATGCGATATTTATTTTATTATAAACTTCAACATCCAATAAACCCATAAAATTGAAGATTGTTCTTCACATCTGTCACTAGTACGGTCCGCACAACTGCTTTCCAGATCTTGACGAGAAAACTGTCCTCCGCTTTGGTAAGACCGCCTGTGGCCGCGAGCCAGAGCATTCGCTCGAGTTTGGAAGGTATATCTATCACCAACTGGCTCCGACAGTTTGGATTTGGTGCCCCGCTTAGGTTTGCCCCCACGGAACTTGCAAGCCGTGAAAACAATGCGCCAGATGTTAGAGTATGAAAGGAAAAAGTCTAGTAATACGCAAGAATAAACATAAAGGTTGTCTCCTACTTCGAATGTGCCTACTTTAAATCTGAATTCGAATTTGTAGAAGACAATCATAATTTGTATGAAGGGAGTCAGACGCGGGAATTGACAGGACTAGTAGAGCATTATTATGACGGTCGCCAGGGTATGCCTGTGGGCTCCTTTCTTCTTCAAGTTGAGGGGTTTTCTGGTACCCCTTGGAGGTAGCGGCTCTCAGATTGAGCAGGTTCACTCAGGATTAAGACGCAAGTCGACGAGATGATTGGGCCAAGAATACTTTTCTTTATGGAGAAATGACCTGAATCAAGATAAGTACTACCCTTTCTTAAGCTCAGTAGCACTGCCAGAAGCGACGTAATCTCCTTACTTTTTCCCTGCCCGATGGGTCCTCTCGGTGCGGAGACCTTTGAGATTTTTCCTTCCAACGATGACTCCCGATATTTTTAGAGTCAAAAAATGCATCTACTTCTAGCTCATCTCCTAATGAATCCTCTGACCATTCATCTTCTATTTCATCCGCTACTTCATCTGCCAACAACTCATTCATTCATTCATTTACCTAGCACGAGGTGGTGTTCGAGTACTTAATTGTGGTGCATTGGGTGGAGGGGGTATTTTATTCGTCCATCTCATCTGTTATCGCTGAATCCATCTCATCTGCTAACAACTCACTTTCAGATAAGTGCTAAGAGGACTAGAGCATCCACCATCTGCTCTGAAGCAAATCACTAAATTCAGACAGAAATGCAGGTGTCGACTGTATGGAAAAGTTCGACGAAGACTTAGTTGACACTCACGTCAAATTCATCACATCTACGAATCGTTTGAGCGACAGGATAGGATAAATACGGCGAGGGATATTGCCCGCTTGCACACACTGATGAAGTCCATAGAAGTTCTACTGATCACATTAATCGTTTACACTGATCATGAAGCCCATGGTTCTACTAGACGAGGATAATGTTACACTGATGAAGTAGTCTCCTTTTAGTGGAGGTCATAAGGAGCAACACCAGTGCAAACTTGGAAGATGTCCCAAGCTTCCGAAGCAGCATCTGACCATTAGAACTGTCCGTAGTTCGTCATCTTTCAAGTGCTGCATGTGCTTGAAAACAAAGTATCCGAGATCGTTCATGCTACTCAGAACATTTTTTTTTTTTGAAAAGGCTCCCTCGTCTCATGCTACTTTTGAAGGATGCAATCACAGATGAATTAGTGAGAGCCTTAAGGCCAGCTGACAATTTTCTCCATCTGGCTGATGTCGTCCTTGCTCAGATTTTTCAACTCCAAAAAGCCGCCGTTCCTGTCATTCGTTAAGCCTGCGACAGCATTCGTATGAAGAAAAAGAAATAGAGGGTAATATGATCAGACAAAGAGAGAGGGTAGTATACTATAGAGATCATTCATTCATTCACTCACTCGCTCATTCATTTTTGACGAGCCACGTGATAACCTAAGCCTCCTGAATTAGCAAAGCTCTCCTAGTTGTCCGAGTCCGATAGTACAAAAGTAAGAAGGTAACAAGGATAGCACAAAGGTAAGAAGGTGCCTTCTAGACGCGAATGAGTGCCCATCTTCATTCACGAGTGCCCATGATCAGCTCTAAGCTGTATAAGTTTTGGGCCGGAATAGGATAGGACGCGATGGGAATCGGAATAAGAATAGGAATAGGAATAAGCTGCCCTTTAGCATGGGATAGGATAGACTGCCCTTTTTCGCAGCTTGAAAGTGTGTCTATGTCTGACGCAGAGACTGACTAGAATGCTGCCTATGCTCATGCTATTGCTTGCACATGCGGATAACCACGCACGGAGTCACTCTGTAGGGAAGGAACAAGATCTTTACGGTCACAGTGACAGCAAGAAGGGAGGCTTGTCATGTCATGTGTTCGCGCCGAATTGTGATCCTTACTCGATCACCTAAGAAGCCACATCAGATAGAAGCTCTGGACTAGCTAGCTCGTGAGTAACTTATAGTCAAACGTGGTCTATGACTATGGCAAACGGGAAAAATAAAAACGTCTTGAAGTTCATAATTCGTTAGTTTTCCCTCGGCGCTTGCCATTTCGAAAAGCTGTCTGAGCGTCTCGAAGCGATCCTCACTGGAGGGTCCTTCAACGCTCGTGATTGCTTCTAAATTGAGACCACCAACTTGCAACTTCCCGTAGGTGCCTTGAACTCCACGACTTAGACTTTGTAATAATTTTTGTGGTGAATCAGACCTATCTAGAAAAATTAAAACAAAGAAAAGATAAAACAGAATAGGCTATCTATCAAGAATAACTTAAACTTTGTAATAAATAATGTTAGCAGAGTTAATGTAGGACTCAGAACTACTCCCCTCCTGTACATTGGAGCTCACCCCAATCCATCTCGGGACTCATCTCGGATCTGCTTTTTTCCTTACGGGACAGCTTTGAGATGCTTCTGGAGATGGACTAGGGAAAGCCTTAGTTACAGCATTAGTCGCGTACCACTGCGCATTTTCATGATGGTGGTGGTGTTCTTGTGGTGGCGTACAACTACTAGCCATTCTCATGATCCAGCTTTATGTAGCCATGTAGCGGGAGTAAGACGATCAAAAAAATGTGAGATGAAGTGGTCTAAAACGTTGCACGGCGAAATAGACCTAGGAATCATAGAGGGAAAATCAACCGGTTATGATCTAATAAGTCGAGGGTAATACTACACATCTGACCTCATAATGCGTCATCTCGGCCAATGATGTTATTCGTGAACTGCCCGCGCCAGAGCCCGTCGATATACCATTGCACAACGGACTTCACCTGCTTTGAAGGATCACAGGTTGCCGATTTTTGTTGTGCACTAGTTAGAAGTGGTAGTCGATCTTGCCTAGTATCTGCTTAGTCAGTCATTGCTTAGTCAGTCTAGTAGGAATAAATGTGGATCAGTATCTCCTATATTATCTTAAGAGCAGGTAGATATTTATGTATATCTTTCCTAAACCCTAAATCCCGACAAGAGTACTACTATGATCTTTTACAAATGCCCTAAACCTCAACAAGAGTACTACTATCATCTTTGACAAATGCCCTAAATCTCAACAAGAGTACTACTATGATCTCTCATAAAGAAATACTTTTGCCTTAATGTACTAGATCCCATGTTAGCATCTTCAAGCCGCGCCGTGTAGGTTGGAAAGAAAACGCCGAAAAGGGAGCGGAAAACGTCTTTCGGAGAATTCAGTACAGCTGGTGTCGCAGCTTTTTGCTCTTGGCGCTTTCCTACTGCGTTTGAAACGGGGTCTGGCGTGCACTTGAGTACCATGCAGCCGGACGATTCACGTTAGGGGTTTCAAGTTGACCGATCTAGCTTGCATGTGATCTATGACTTCCGTCTTTGAAAACTTGCTCACAGATTTATGCTCATAGATGAGAGATCAACTTGCAAATGAGAGATCAACTTGCAACCCTTATGGAATTTCACGTTCACCACACTTGCCTGGAGTGATGGGGCCCCTCTCGCTTCGCTTATCTAGATGACACTCGTCTCCCTCACTCTTCCACGTGTAGCCGCTGCCTGGCACCTCTGCTTTTAGACCGTACTTACGTATTCATCTTGAAGAGCATC